ACCAGCCAGATGCCCTGAACTCATTCGAGACTCATCCTTTACTCATCTTAAATGGCCTCGTTTGAATCTAGTCTTTAATATAATACATATTTTATTTTTTTGTTTATTACCTATAGAGTATATTTTTTATTCTAAATGTATTATTACTATTTCGTTACAGGGGTGTAGGTTGGTTACAAAGAAGATAAAAAAACTGAAACTAAGATTTAAAATAGAATAATTAAACGTTTAGCTTACCGAATAAGTATTTTAATTTACACTCTTTAGAATTAATATTTTGAATAAGTGTTTGGAGAAATATTAATTCATGTTTGAATGTGATAGTAAAACTCAAAATACGATTGCTCGGTTGTTGTCAACCTGTTAAAAAATGTGTAACGATTTTCTACGGAGTTTCCAAATACATAGTTTGTTTTGAAATTTGAGTCACTCTGATCCGTTTGAATCTACTTGTAATGAGATTGGATGCAACTCAATCCAATTCAGTCTGGACAAGGGTAACACGAGCTTGTATAGGCTTGTTGAAGTAATCAATGCAACAGACTGAGCCTAGATTGTTGACCCAACCTGCAACCCAACACAAAATGGCTGCCACAATAATTATTTATTTTAAATAGTAACACATTAATATTGGGTTTTCAAGGTTCTTGTGTGAAAGTCTCGACGAATATTTAGGAGATCAAACATCTGTTTGAAGTCCTTCAATATATTATTTAATATCCTTTAATAGACCAATACATTTTAGTACCCTATATAATTTCATTCTATTTGACATTTTACATGGTAAAGTAGTAGTGTTAAGTATCTCGAACAATACTTATTGTACTTATTCATGACCGTAATTGGATATATTAAGTTTCGTTAATTTGTCACCAGTAAGGATAGGTTTGATTGTTTGAATATGTCTGAAGAGGGTTATGGGTTTAAACGTCACGTGTTATCTTGTTTCAAATACGTCATTGACATTTTTGTAATTTTTTAGGTTAAGGTCCAAACTCTGATTTTATTTTTTTATTAGATTTTATATCTAACATCGACCTGTTGTTAGACAACACAATTATTTGCTGAGCCAATGACAATTGTATAAGTACAGAATCGATATATTGGAATCAAATTGGCATCATTCAACTTAAACGCAATCACTATAATTACTCAGCAACTCATACAAAATTTGGTTAGATTTAGTAAAAAAAATACAAAATTAAAATATATTATTAGATTAAGGGGTAAAAGTTACAGTATTATTAAACATAATACCAATATACCACTATTGTGTTCATTTAAGAGGTATGAACAATCTTATGTAATTAAAGCATCTTGCTGGTAGATATTTATACCTCTCTATGGTTCTGTAGGGTTAAAATGAGAAAAATCTAAGTTAGTGGTTAAAATTTCAGATTTAAAGCTACAAACAAAAAACTTTATATTTATGTTGTTTATTGAACACAGGACTAGAAAAAATCTTGATGTAGGTTAAACAAAGACCTAGATACAACAAACTCTGCGTTTTCCACGTTCTAAATAAAAGCACCATAACCTGTAAACATTTCGAAGTGACAAAACCAATAGTCTTTCCGTTTGTAAATAACGTTTTGTGCAACAAACATTCAACTGAAATAGATGCACAAACATGAGACGTGCACCTAGATGCACCTGCAGATGGAATGGCGTTTGATGCACCGTGTATATTTACTGTCAGTCTAGTCTATATACACAGCTAATGGAGACTATCACACTAGCCTTTGACGTATACTAGGCCATATGCATGCTGGCTCATTACCTGTTGAATTAAGACATGTAAAGTACATTGAGTGACAAATAAAGCTAACTATGGGGCAACGTTTTACTGGTGTTATTTGACTGTGGAAAATACTATTATTATGAAAATTGCTTTTTATTCTTGTGTATACACATCTTTATATTTGATTTGGTTGTGGAAAAATAGTGGGCATCTGGGAAGTCATAGAAATACAGGAAAAGGCATAAAAGGTCATAATACCGTGACTGCGGAAAAATGTTGAGTTTACAAAATATTAACAATTACAGGAGATATACTTTATACTTTACTTTAATACTTTTTAAAGAAATGGCGACAATACAAAGTAGATATTTTAATCCAAGTATGAATGGAGATGAGTGTAGGATGAGTGACACGATCTTGTAGTCTTGTTAGTGACTAAGGCCGACATATTCCTTAGACACAGCTGTTAATTAATAGCCCATACAGCTAATGACAACTAAGGGACCTTAAGTTTATAGTGGAATCCGAACCACATTTTTGCCTTGGTATGTACGAATTGTTCTAATTATCAGGATAGTACCACGGATAGTCGTAGTACTCACTCGTGCGGACGTTAATCCACACTAGGGAGTATCGCATCCACAGTGCATGCCTGTAAATATCCACAATTCTAATAAAATTGACCATTGAATACTGGTGGACATCCCATCGATAGAGACCACCTCTCACAATGTTTTAAGAGTGCTATTTCATTTTTATATTGGGCTATGTAAATTGTTTTATAGATTTTTTATATTTTAGTTTTTATAGTAATATTGCATATCAAAATAAAGCTAAACTTGATTAGGAGTAGAGATAACTATATTTACAAGAAAAATATAGGGTATGGAAATAGTACAACATTTTCTTAATGCAGATCCACTATTTTGAAACGAATAAAAAATCACGTTATGATTCGACCACAATCTTTTTTTATCGAAAAGAGCTTTTAAGTTTTGTAAAATATTGTGACATTAGCTTGTAATAATAAATTGTAAGATTCAAACTAGTATGGTACATCATGAGCTAAAAAACATGTTAAAGGGTTTTTAAGCCATCCCTTGAAGTTGGCTGGTGGGTAAAATCAAAACCTTTATTCATAGGGCGAATAGTTTTTCTAAAAATAAACACCTAACAAGATTCAAATTGTGTATATTTATTCAACAGATAAAAAGTATTAAACATTTTGCTTATAATTTTTGTGATATCTCAATTATAAATTAGAAGAATATTTTGATTTTACTATACGAAATCTTTCGTGATATCCCGTATTGTTCGGGAAAAAAGGGGGCTTAAGTGGTGGCGGCCAACATTATCAGGTTACAAAGTGGTTTTCAGGAGAGAGAAAGTACGTAAGAAATAAGTGCAGAATTAAGCCTAATTGTGAAACAAATTTTCTAACCCAATGAGCTTTAAAATTACCTTTCTACAGATAGTTTGTGGTAATAACTATACAAGAGACAAATAAATAATTCCTATTTTTGTGATTCCGGGCCAATTAATTCAAAGTTAATAAATTGTAAATTACAGTGAATACAAAATATTTCCAATCTTGGAAAACCTATCTACATGTAAAAGCATCCCTTTATAGTTTAATTTTAAATTTATATGTCTTCAAAGAATGCAAAAGTTAGATTTATTTCAAACAAAACCAATGTAGCACAACTACAATCTCTTAATTCTTCAAACTCAGACGAAGACACAGATCCTTTAAGATGTCCCAGTTACTATCAAAGCCTACAAAAAATAGACGCGCTGATTTCCTATCAACAAACACAACTGACCCTTTGAATACTTAACAGAATCCAAAAATAGAACGTTATCAACAAAGAGCAAGACGCCTGAAGAGGGTAAAGTTAGCTTCGTCCCACTAACACGCACACGTGTAACCACAGATGTGTAGACCCTAGAACATCTGTAGCACAACGATCTTATTGAGAGTTAGATACATATTGCTCTAGAACGATACATTTTTTTGGTTACCAGGCTCAATCCCGGGATAGATTTTCACACGATTTAAGGTTAGGCCTAGAGGTTGCGGCATTATCTCTAAAATAATGGTGATTGGCGGGATTTGAACCCAGGACCTTGTGGACCGAAGTCCCACGCTCTAGACCAGCTCACTCCCTCTTGAATTATAAAAATTGGTCAAAGAAATTGTATTATAAATTCGTCATGTTTCCTAATTTCATCATAGATATTCTTTGCAAGAATCTTATTGAACATTGTCAATGTGTAAAATCTGAATTAAACTCCTAAACCATTTCAAAATGGCAGCTCGTTAAAAATTTCATGTAAAATTTCATGAAATTCGTTATTTTTACAAAAAATATGCAAGGTACATAAAATATGTTAAACGTAAAAAAGATTTCAACGATATTTTGTTAAGCTTAGTTTGGGCAAAGAATAACAGGGAAATTAATTTCTTTTTTAATCTACAGTTTTCTTCTTAGTTATAAAATTAAAAAAAATATATTTAAAGTAATATAAAAGTAATGCCCATTTTTATCAATTATGCATTTTGTTGACGATATAATGTATCTTAAATAAACATAAATGTATTTTTTTTATGTCACGCAACTAAACGAAAAGTGTTTGCGTCCAATGTTGGTAAATACTGATCGACTCAGGTGTTAAAGTAAACCTTCAAATTGAGAATCATCAAACAGGAGAGGTGTCACATCTTGTTTTCTTTTCGTGTAACGAATTGTTATTTCTAATAATCTTATAAAACCTTACAGCTCAGTAGGAATTAACTCATTAAATGAAATTAAATATATGTTGCAAACAACCGTTTATTTATGTTTAAAATCTTTTTTCTCAACTGTAACGACATTATAACGTTTTCTCTCTACCTTAGTATTTTACAGGGAGTTAACTAGTCTGGTAAAGACCCCTTCGGCCTTCATGACTACTGGTTCAAATCATACCAATCAGTAATCAATCTGAGAGTAGAATAAAAAAATATGTTTTGGCATATTTATTATTTTTAACCACGTTTTGATGGTTTTCAAAAAAATATAGCAGTTATCAAAACTTAAACAATACAAAACAAACGCTCTGACGTTTAAATAATGTATTGTAGCGAATGTTTAATACAGTTTCCGTTAATGCCCCACACAGGTAGTCAGGTAGTTATGGGCACCTGTGGGGTAGTTTGGAGGGGGTGGGGGTGTATAAGCGATGCTTGGTGGCGGCGTCGTCAGTAGCGTCTCGACGCCCGTCACGTCAGCGTCGACTTGTCTGTGTAGTGGTGCGTCGTCAACGCCGCGTGTGTGTGTAACTCTTCACTTCGTGTGCGTATCATGTGAGCAGGTAAACTGTTATGTGTGTGAGTAGACGGCGTGGATTTCTAGTTTGGTACCACGTGTTCCATAGCTCCGATTGGTAAAAATGCAAGATAATAATTCTATATAAGTGCAGGAGAAATTCAATATTATAAAAATCGCTTTTGTAACTGAGTTTTAGTAACGTTTTTACCAACTTAATTCAAATTACGGGGAAGTCATAAACATAAAAAAAGATTAGTGCAAAAAAGGTATAAGTTTGTAAAGTAAATATAAAAGTGTAACTGATAAGAACAAAAGTCTTCATCCACACTGATTGTAATGAATTAAAATCAAACTACCATTCCCTGCGATGGTTTTGGATCAAAAATTTCAACCGGACGATTAATTAATGCATTTACATTAACATATTGATAGTAAGTACCTTTTTTTGACCTTTTAACCAACAATCCCTTACTGTTAGAGAAATACATTTCACATATCAGAAGCTGATTTGTACTAAATTTAGTGGGGATTTATTAGTCAGTTAAGTGATGTATTTTATTGCGCAATTGTAGTTGAAGTGGATAGTGAACTCTTCTCCAAGCTTAAGTACCATTAACTTGACACGATATATGATCTCGATTAACTGCAAATATACAGCTTTACTGCCAAATAAGTACTGTAGCCAGTTAATTGTGCGCTCATACGACAAAACGTTTAACTTATCTGCATTAAAACAATTATATCACTCTACACAAATTAGACATTTACAAATTGTGCCTAAATAGCAAATTAATAGGCTACCTTTTTTATTCATAGTTTTATTTTCCTAGGACGCAAGGCACTAGCCCGGAATTGTTTTTCACAATACTTCAGGCTAGATCTAGGGGTTACGATATTATCACTTATATAGAATCCATTGGTGATTTGGTGGGATTTGAACCCGGGCCCCAAGAACCGGATTCACGCGCTCTAACCACTAGACCAGCTCGCTCCCCCTAGTTCTCAAACAATGTATTACACACAACCACTTATTAGACTTTAAAATTTTAACGAACCAAAATTCCCTCTTGTAAATTAATAAATAAATCTAAACCACATTTAAAGCTACATGACACGGACTCCGTAATCTTGATTGACAAACGGAATCACGTCGGAATACTTGATTCACAAGTCCAATCTGACTAAGAGGCGACCTCAAACATTGGTTGAGGAAGTTGAAATAACAAGGAGGACACGTTGATTTAACACCAGCGTTGTCTGGCGTACACCGAAGGGGGTAGGGGGGTAAGACAGGGCTTAAAGTAGGTTATACTTCATTTCCAGACCCGCAACCACATTAAGCTCAGATTTACCGCTTACGCTAGCCAAAATCTACTGCTAATTTGTAATGTCTGAGAAACTGAAGAATTCTACGATTAAAATACGTATTGAGTTTGTATATACAAATTACAAATTCTTGTAAACATGTCATAGTAGTTTTGTTATAGTAGGCCTAGGCCTGTACTATAAGAATCTAAAGATTCGATCGGACCACGCTTTGGCCACCAATATCAGCTATAAATGCTATCCAATCCAATAAACATGTCAGAAGTAGCTTATAATTAATTGTTGTTAGGGTTATTTCATAAGGGCTCCTGTTGGGATAAATTAAAATATTTAAAAAAAATGGAAAACTTAATGTTTTCTTTGCATATATTTTTAGACTTCCTTCATCACATTCACCAAACAATCATAATCTGTACAACAGTTATTATTTTGTCTGTTTAGTAGAACAGCAATCAGGAATAATTTTTTTTGTTTCTGGCAGTAGCAAGTCACCGTGCGATTTATTTATTCCTAACAATTATTATTACAACCGCAAAATACTACAATTAGGCTACATTTTTCGTACACTTACCATCTCTATTCTACTTATTCATTCAAGTTGTTTTGATGGAAAGTTGCAACTTCACATATTTTATTACTAATCACTTGGTTTTATTTATCATCAAGATGTATTTTTTATGTAAAGATAACTTATATACAGCGTAACTTTAATATAGGTGTAATTTTAATATTTCTAGTACAATTGTATGTTGTTTGTAAAACAAAAAGTTTTGATTCTATACAGCTAGTTAACAATTTGTTTGAAAAGTATTTAACCTGTGTGTTTCACATAAAAAATAAACATATGTGTTGATAGAATGAAAGCAAGCGTAAGATCAAATAAAGAGTTGTTTCGGGAATAAAAACTGCCAATAACAATGATTTATGATAATAGCTTTGTGTTTCGGAGGCCTTGCCAGAATCATAAATCATATCCATATTAGATTTACTTAGGGTTTTACGCCGGGTTTTGTAACAATTTACATGGTGAAAGTAAATCTTGTGCAGGATTTTGTTGTGGGATTTGTTCATTCAATGTTTCTCTAAATTTTGAACGTTATTTAATATAGCAATAACAAATCGTTAAATCAATTTTGTAATATTAGTTGGTTAAATTGCTACAATATACTGCAACGAAAGAATATAAACATAAACATCATAAAAAATTAACAACAGCTAAATAGTTTTATAATCTCATATGTTAACATCCCAATGAATTGTATGTGACCAAATATGTTAGTAAGATTATCGTAACACGAAACTACTTAATAGTTTTAAATATTTATTATAAACCATGTTTCTAAGTATATTTGTATTATTTGTATTGAATTAATTGTATTTGAATTATCTAGTACAAAGAAATGTAATTAATGTTTTTACAAGTAGTAGTTAGTGACTGACTTTTGTTAAACTACATCGAATAAAAAAAAAACTCCTAAATTGATGGATTTAATAAAAAAAGACATCATTTTAACATCTTCTACAAATAAACATAAAATAAGCAATCATCGTTACCTTTTTTAATTAAATGAAATGTATACCCTTTGAATAAAATGTTGGATAATAGAGGAAATAGTTTTCTGTAACTAAATTTTTATGATTTCAACAAAGAAGAATCTTCTTTCTGCCTAGGGAACCTGTAATAATTGGAATTGTAAATAGACAGTTCAAAACAATTTCTCGTAAAAGAAGCATTTCAAGAAAATTAAAATTAATTTAGAACTTACCTTTGATAAATTATATTCTGAACAAGCTTTGCTCCTGCGTTTCCAAGTAGCATGGTTGGCAGTCGGGCTTTGATACCAGAGCTTAACTTCAGTAGATCAATTAGTTTAATTGTTGGCCCTGGTCCATCAGACTGAAAGCTGCAAATCACAACTTGAGCTGTAACTTGGATAAACGGTGTTTGACCTCTGGCAACCTGTCTCTTATGGGATTCTATGAGGAAAAGTTTAGTGTTTTATAAATTATAGGATCAACTAAGAATTTGTTTGTAATGTACATTAGTGGTTAAAAATTAGATATTTTTGGACAATGTATAAAACGACAGCGTCGTTGAGAAAGAGTTTTAATTTTTACACTGGGGAATATTTTACATGCACTAGCTGCTGAACAATGAGGATTTCTTCATTTAGATCTACTATAATACTATCAGAATATTGCTAGTATAAAGATAGTGAAACTGTTTAAAGCTATTGAAAAATAGCTTTGAAAAACCGGCATTAGTTGCATAATGTCGAACAGAAAAACAATAGTTGTACAATTGAACATGATGGATGGCAATTTTACAAGAAACTATATACAGTAGTTAGTTAGTCGTTTACGGAGTCTATAGAGAATAATATTGAAAAAAAAAACAGATCAGCATTGTATAAAAATGTATGTTCAGTATAGCAAATAGTAATTATTTGTATAAGTATAGGCCAACGTTAGTTTTTTCGTCCGTCACAGTTTGACGAAGTAGACTGAGTAGATAAATATTTTCATACAGATTTGTGTACGCAGCAAGCACTGATAGAATAGCATTGAATAGAAGTTCTACGATGTGGTGAAAATAAAAGTGTAATTTTGTACAAGTGGTATGGTAAACTATTACGTAGAGCGAGCTGTGATCTGAAAACATAATTCACTTTATGGTTATATTATATTTATAACGCGTCGGATCACCTGTGAGGGTATTCAAAGTAGAATATCAGTAAATGACGTTTAGATGAGATTATACCTTATTTATGGACTACAGGTCGAATCAGCTGTGTCTTTAGTCAGGACCATTTAGTATATGTTCAAGACTAACTGTCCAGTTCTTAACCATCAAAACCACATTAATCTTACATATTACGCTCGGTCACCAAGTGTTGCAAACCAGCAACAAGACTCAGCAGTGACGTAGACATTTGCTGATAGCAGCCCGGGTTAAGCTGATAGTAGGGGTGGCTTACAGAGACCGTCAATCCCCAATTAGACTAAAGTGTTCCTTACCCGCTCCGATTTCTCTCCCCCCCCCCTTCCACTATCACGCCTCCTTCGTTCTCTCATCTCTCGCTACCCTCTATTTCTTATTTTTTTAACTTATTTTCGTCCAGTGCGTCTTTATAAATCAACCCCCAATTCAAACAAACCTCTGATTGTACGAAAACCGAAAAACAGCAAACTTGATCTTTTTTGTACTTTATCCCTATCATATGAAAATACAAGGGTAAAATGATATTTTAATGAACAGATTTAGTTGTATTTGTAAACATTTTACTCCTTTACTAAATTGGAAATGTTTTGTACTTTTACCTAAAAGAGTTTCTTTTATTATTTGTAATAGAACTGCGATTAGAAATAATGTAACACTTTATTAAACAAGACAAAATGGTTTAGCACACTATAAGTTTAAAGCAACTAACTCAGATCGTGGTTAATACTTTCTCATCTTTCACATAAGACACTCAAACATTTAGATTGACAGAAACTAATTAATAGTTGACTATAAGTTCCTCTCTTGGGTGGAGATGTCTTGAAGCTCATAGTCAAGATCAAGTTAGTTAACAGCCCACTTTCTTAGTGATTAGTTTGACTTGCGTCACATACAGTCTGTGTCAAAATGAACAGTACTGAATATTAATAAAATATGACGATTACAGTATTGACTATTTTACCTCATACTGTTCTTTCTTATGCAAAAATAAAGACAAAATTGTAGCTCGTAAACTAATACATACTGAAAGGTAACTTGCACTCCTCCCTAAACTTTTAAACTATTTGAGATATTTGAAAAAGGGGCTACAATAATGATGGTTAATTTTGAAGATTATTTGAAGATTGAATCTTACCCAGTAGGTCTCAAAGTTTGTAAATGAAAAATATAGTCGAATTTGGTATTATTTTACAGGTTTTTACAAAACTAAACAATTCATAAAGAAAACAAAAATCAAACTAATAATAACAAAATGACACCCTAAAACGATTCAAATCCAATTAATCATGAGGATGGCTAACATTTACTTGCACCCACCTTAACTTGTTAACCATTTGAGATGTTTGAAATTGGTTTGCGGAAACCTTTTTAGACATGAGGGGCTACAACAATGATGGTTGATTTTGAAAATGTTTCCCTTAGGAGTAGTGGAGGTTGGGGTTAGCACAACATTTTCAAATAGAAGTTATAGTTGACTCTCAATTGCCATCAAGAAAATAGAAATGCGACCACTAATTACAACATTGCAGCTAAAAACTGCTTTAAAACCCAACGTCTTAATATCCTTTTGGAGCGACCCAAAACTGATGGTACGTTTAGAAATCAAATCCGTTATCAATTATGTCACTTCCCCTTGTCGCATTCAATGAACATCACTATTGTTTCCATCTATTTAAACCCAATTTTTTTTCAATTATTCTATCATATGACCTTTCTTTCCAGACCCCGGTGTCAATTCTCTTCACTCAGGATGTCAAAGTAACCAGCGGTCATGGAAGATGAAGAGCTAGAGCTCCAGAGGGGCCTGTCCTCCGACAACTCCTCTAACCTCAGTCTCAGTGACGCCCTGGGACCGCCAGAGGACGACCTGGACGTCGAGCTGTTCCAAGGATACTCCACGGCCCTCCTGAGGTTCGCCTCGGCGTGTTGTCTCCTCTTCATGTTGGTTGGGATACCCGGGAACCTCATAACTATCATCGCCCTCTTCAGGTGTAAAAAGGTGAGACTGATTGATTTGCAACGACATAATCGTATTGGGAGGGTCTTTAAAGGAGCACAAGATTATCGTTACTGGCGTCAGCCACAGCGATGATTTTTAGACGAGTATTATTTAAGTAACAATGGCTGTACACTTTAACGTTTACCAGAGGTTGTCCAATGGTTGGAAAACCAAAATTATGCAATGTACAGAATTCTCTATTTCAACCCCACATTTTAAATAAAACATATGATTGGAATTTCTTGCATATTTCGCATAGCAGGAAAACCGTTAAGACCCTTGTTATTTTTATTCAGCATTGCCTCCAGGATTGATAAGACAAAATAAGATAGGTTTACGTACCTTACGTCGCCAATCCTAGTATAGTCTCAGGCGACTAGTTTCGAAACTGATGTTTCATCATAGATAAAACATACTCCCCTAGTCTCCCTTGTGTTGGTTAGTCTATGGCTTCATTTTCAAGCCTTGTCGTCTAACATAGAATTACCTATTTGAACTTGATGTCGTAGTCAAAATACACAAATATAACATTTAACACACACGGATACATTAAGTTAACGAAACATGCTAATGATTCTCCCTCATGGAAAATATCTTTCCAACAGTATTCGTAGATTTCCCCTTCGATACACACCAAGCTGAGAAAAAAGGTTTTAAAGACACATGGTTGCCTATTAATATATAGATTGCCAGTGACTGTAAGTACTGTATATTTAATTATTAAATGAATTGTTTGTAACGATTAATAAACTCATTATTGCGAAGTTAAAATCCAATATTACCTCATGTGACACGAAATCCTGCCCCAACTACACCACGAATATTTGAACAGAAACGGCATGGGTCGTAAACATAAACAAATGGCGTCACTGGTCCAAATTTTACTCCCTTCTAATAGCCGTTACAGCTGGTTTAGTCATTCTTCGACACTTACATATAAATAATACTTTTGGGCCAGTCACGTCATTTATTTATCCGTTTCTGATTTAATAACCGTGGATGACTTGTGTGTCATAATCAAAATGTTTAAAGCACATATTGTTTTATATCGGTTGTTTGAATAACTAAACACATCTAAACACACTAAAACATATACTATCGTGTCTCATACTCTCTTCACAAAACAAACATTATAAATTCAGGTAAAGACAATGTTGGAATCAACATATTCTAAATATCCTTTAAAAGTCTGATTAGTTATGTTTAGATATCTAAGCCATTATGGAAAAGAGCTAAATATTAGTTGTAAATAATAATCGATTTTTTTTATCGAAGAGCTGTTAACATAAACTTGCCAATAACTCACTGGATGTCTTGTAGACAGAAATGGCAAATGGTTATGACTCACGGGGGAACCGTTGTCCACGAAGTTTTCTCGACAATATCTTCAATGTAAGACAAAAATATTTCTCTTTTTGCTTCACTCAAAGCCATCCGTCGTAACACGAAATATATAACGGAATCCATTAAAAGAAAAATTGAAGGTCCTGTGAACATTTTGTGAATTTAATAGTTCGTAGCCTATAATTTGGTAAATAGTTTATTAGGTTAAAAAATAAACCCGCCGCAGCAAACCTGCAGAGTAAGTTAATTTCCATTCGTCTGATTTGACTTTACCAACAATATTTTCTTGAAATTCTCATATTTATTTATATTATTGTATATTAATGAATACATAGGATATATTCTACAGAGAAAGTAACAAAGTAAGGTTTGATTGGAATTTCATTAGCTTAGTATGAAGTAAACAAATTTGCCAAAACCGATCAAAATATATCCGTAAACAGTTTATTTACGTAACAGTTTGTTTTGTTGGGAACTGCAACAGTTTATACCGTAAAGAATAACGCGAAGTAATAGGTAATTTATTAAACCACAAATAACATATATCGTCAGGTTTTTATTTTATTTTACAGTTTGTAGTCCTAATAAAAAGGTCGAAACTAGTCCTTTTGCTGTTATAATACTATATTGCATTTATAATGACATTGCAATTGATTAACTCATTTCAAACAGGATAATTAATCAGCAATCCATACCAAACTATGTAACAGAATGTCAGAACATCTGCGGCAAGACAATACGTTCAGCGAGTTGAGTGCTCAGAAGTCAAAGTTGGAAGCGCAAAGTTTATCCACTTGTTCAGAGTCTGAAAAACAAGGAGAAAATCAAATTTGCTTGGATTACCAAGTGTATTTGCCAACTTGGAAATTCCGTTCCAAAATTATTGCTGGTTATGAAGAATACTTTGCTCAATGAGTTTGTCAGAATGTAGATTTTACCAATAAATTATAAGTTAATAATATAAAGACTCGAATTCGGGAAATTAAACAGAGTTCCTTTTAAAGATTACGGTTAAACGAAACCAAAAAAATTTCTGCTTGGAATTAGAGTAATATTATCGGCCTTAATTAAAATACTCGTCATTTTGACAAAAAATATAGTAAGGGTTTTTGGGGAACAGTTATATTTTTATTGAATGAATGGTGCATTAGAAAATTAAAAATTTTTATCGTTAAATCCATTGACTCACTTCGTTCCGTTATTAACCAACATGACTGATTCAGTTCAATATCTGTTTATTGAAAGTCTGCATTGGGGAAATAAGTAACAGCATTAGGCCCTAAACTATACGTTTAAAAATTCTGTACACTTTTATCTTAGCTTAGCATATAAAAAAAACCTATTGTTTCTATGAAGTGATAGTTTATGAACAATACAACGTTCATTTAACTTTTAACTGCAATCTAATTAAATTTAACGATTGTTTTATAAAAGAATTATTACAATGTATACATTTTATCATAGTTTCTTTCTAAAGACTCAAGAGAATAATTCTCTTGAATGAGTTTGAATCCTAAGAGAATTAAATATGCATCGAATCATAATTTTAAATGTTGAATGAACAATATTAAATTAAAATTTAAGTTCAGGAATTCAGAACTGAAAAGAGTCATTTAACTAAACCTTTGCAAATCTTTTTGAAGACACTATGTTATCCAATCCCGGTCAATATTCAAAGGCAGTTTGCTCGATTAATCTCATACTTCAAACATGGTCTCAAATATGTAATGACTCTCTTTCTGCTATTGTTAGAAAATATTTGCATAGTAAAAATTCTTTTTGCGTAGTAAACAATGTGATAATGAATTTTTGCTGGGGATGAACATTCGAAAACAGGTGATTTCACAGAAGTGTAACGAAAATTCTTGATGTTGATTATTTATTAACGATTTGTTGCTCATTTATATTGTGCACGTTTCCAACAAATTTGTATTTACCCTTTTATTGTCCAAAAAAAGCTGCATAGTGTTTGTTTTTACTTAGTTATTACAAAATGTAACTTTATCCACCGCAAATCTTGTCAACTAAACCTCCTTTGTTACATTTTCCATTGTTGTGACTCAATTTTGCGCGACCCTCCTCGTTGTCCCTCACAATCCCATTCGCTTCTGTTGTCTTTCTCTTTTCTTTTATCTCTGAAAATATGTAATATACCAAGTCTAGTGAGAAAACACCGTGTTGGAACAATGTTTTTGTCTTTCAAATAAAAAAACGAGTAATGATTTGTTATTGAAAGTTGAAAACCATACAATAGTAGGTGCAAACAATATCATTAGTATTTCATTGGTGAAATGAAAAAGGAAATATTCAACACATCAAAGGTTGACATTTATAATAACTAAACACCTGAACAAAATTACTCGAAAACTACGTACATATCAGAAGAAGACTTGGGAAAATATCCATCGTAAGTTACTAAAAATTAACAACTTTATTTTCTTTTGAAATAATGTTTACGTAATAATGTTTACGATTAAAAATTAAGGTACATACCTTCACGTCCACAGTTCAAATATGTATGGTTAAACCCACTACATGTTTCGCCTATACATAGGCATTGTCAAGTGGTCCTTCAAGAACGTTTCGTCCATTGTAGACTCGTCAAAAACATTTAAATAAATACACAAAACACGATACGAAACATTTAACACTTAGTAGGCCTACTATTTACCGGTCGCGGTACGGAGGCAGACTGGCTGGAATTATGTACATAATGAAAAAACATGTACATAATTCCAGCCAGTCTGCCTCCGTACCGCGACCGGTAAATAGTAGGCCTACTAAGTGTTAAATGTTTCGTATCGTGTTTTGTGTATTTATTTAAATGTTTTTGACGAGTCTACAATGGACGAAATGTTCTTGAAGGACCACTTGACAATGCCTATGTATAGGCGAAACATGTAGTGGGTTTAACCATACATTTTTGAACTGTGGACGTGAAGGTATGTACCTTAATTTTTAGTCTATTCAACAGTTCAGGGGCTACACAATGAATTTTAATGTTTACGATGTTGAACACAAATCGTAGGTATTTTAAAAATTTTCTATGCTCAATTAATAAAACTTCTTTATAACATGGCTTAAATAGAGTAAACCGAAGGTATACAAAAATTGATTTCTCAGTTATTATTTCTTTAAACTAAGCTTATAAGATAAAACTGTACAACATTTTACATATCTTGCAAATTTTTCTTAAAATTAACGGTGTCCATGGAATTTGGCATCAAATATAAAAATATACCAATATACTAAACATTTTAAAGAGTTGCAACGCTGTAGCTCAAAAAGTTGAATTATGAATGTATTTGTAATCACATAGGCTACAGACAGATAGACAGAAAACGGAATGAGATAGGACTCATGTTATGTAAATTTTGTTTGTTTGTTTTAACATGCTGAATAACGCAGAATTTGTTCATTAGGTGGCAGGGGCTACAAACTCCATCAAAGTTTTCCCCTCATCAACTTAATTAGTTATGTTTTCAATATAAAAGTTAGTTCAACACAAAAATCTTCATTCAATATTAGTATTAAGCAAGCTACTTCTAAGAATAGCCTCTTTCAAAAAGCGGCGAAAGTTGCTTAATTTAAATCGCAAAGTTATCGGTTTCCACTTGGTCTGTTATTGACAAATGTGATCGAACTGACTGAATCAC